AGGCATTATTTCTATTTTTGAAATCAGGAGCCCGCCTGGAGAACAGAGGCATTTATTTTCAAGTTTTTAGCAATCAGGAGCCCGCCTGGAGAACAGAGGCATTTATTTCAAGTTTCTAACAATCAGGAGCCCGCCTGGAGAACAGAGTCATTTATTTCAAGTTTTAGCAATCAGGAGCCCGCCTGGAGAACGGACACATGTTTCAAGTGGTAACATTCAAGCATCATTCGGAGGAATGGCAGCAATATCGCCAATCACAATGCAAAACAACAACAGGAATACCATCGGAAGATTACAAGATACAAGTTCAAGGCAACACCAGAACAAGTTAGAAGACATAGATAGGACCCTCTTGTAATTCGTAGATCATAGCTTAGGCTAGCTTCTTTTCATTTTAACACGGTGTAATAAGGAGGTCAGCGAGCAGTAACAACAGTAACAGCAGAAAGTCGCAGCTCTTGGTAGTCCCAGCTACCAGACATTCCCGAACTATACTGACCTGATTCCTGTTTAGCCCAGGATATGTAGGCAACCTTTGAAGCAGGGTGCGGTCAACTCTCTTTTAAAAATGCTTCACGGAATATGCGAACGGGCAAAAATCGCTTGTTTTCGCTCACTTATCTTTTAACGAAAACTCTTCGTGTTTCCGGGCAAACAGGGGCAGCTGTGAGCACGTGATTTTTGCCCAAAGCAAATTATTCCAAAAGTTTCAAATAAAAAGATTTCACAAATTTTTGTGAATTTTGTGGAATTTGGTGTTAATTGATTGCATGATAATTCATATGAAAATATAAAAAAATACATTTGCATTTAGGATTTAATTTCATATTTTAGTATTAATTAGAGGTTAATTTGTTTTAGAACAAAATGTAAAGAAAATAACAAAATGGTCCGTTTTGCATTTTTTAGTTCAAATTGGTATTAGTTTGTATCTTTCTTTTAATTAGGAATTAATTAGGAAATCTAATTTTTAGTGTTAAGTTGATTGTGAGCATTTTTAATAAAATCAAAATGTATACAAAAATACAAAATAAAATAACAAAAAGAGAAAAAAAACAAAATCAAAAAGGAAAATAACATAGAAGAAGTCCAAATTTGGGCCATTTGCAAATTAAATAATCCCAAGCCCAAAATTGAACCCGTCCAACACAGCCCATACCCATCCCAAAAGCCACTCGGTCCAGCCCCCTAATAACCCAAACGACGTCGCTTCATGAGGTTAAATCAGGACCGTCGAGGTTTTTTGATCGGACGGTCCTGAAGCTAGGGTGTCTAAGTATAAGAATGTCCAAACGTGCCCCCCTACCCCCCTCTCGCCTCCCGTCTCTCACCCCCAAACCCTAGAGAAACCCTAGCCGCCATCGATTCCCTCACCGTCTCCGTCGTCTGCCGCCGCCGAAAATCGCCCACAGCGGAGGCGATTCTCCAATCTCTCTCAAATGTACACCGCATACTCCCCGTAACCTCCTCTTTCCAAACCCCAAACTCCCATGTCTCAAATCCCCCCCCTTCTCCTCGAATCTTTGAATCTGTGGACGCCGCCTCCGCCGCCCCCAAATCCTCCCAAATCGATACCCCTTAACCACCAGACCTCCCTCATCCTATATCTGTCCTCCTTCCCTTTCGAATATCGACCAAGCTTCCTAAATTTTGAATCTAAGAATTGAATTGAGGATTGATCCGGAACTCAAGCATGCAAGGCCCTTCTCCAGTTTCCTTAGTCCTAATTCTGTCCCAGGCTAACGTTTTTATCCATGCCTGGACAAAGAAAGGGTGATTGACATTGTAGCAGGGGTTAAATTAGAAGTTCAACCTTGAATCCGAGTCGGTGGGTGAGCTCTTATTTTTATTTCATCTTCTTTTTCTCTCTTCTTTGTATTTGTTTCTTGTTCATATACTTGGCCTTTTGCTTCATCTCTTCTTTTTGTTTGTATAATCGAATTGCTATTCGAACAGGGCTTCAGATTAAATTGAGGTTATTCGTAGTTTGCGTTCAAATCCCGATTTCCTTACCTTTTTAATTACCTTCATGATTAAATGATTTAGAGTGTTAGGTTTTGATTAATTTTTGTTAATACTGTCCTGTCTTGATCTTTTCTAGTTTGATTTTGTGTTGATTCATGAGCACTTTTGATAATCTGATTTAGTTTCAATTGCCTAATTACCGGTTCACTGATTCTTAAGTTTAATTGCATGATTGTTTAACTAGTTTAATTTTTAGGATCTTCTGGTTATAGCTTAATGGGATAGGATCTTGTTTAACCACGGTTAGTTCTTGACCAGTTACTAGGGTAATAGGGGAATGGTCTGGTTTAGCTCAGTAATTCTCAGAATAAGTCAAGGGTAATTGGGGCAATTCAAAGAGAGGAATCTGGCATTTAACTGATTTGGAAACCCCTAGAACATTCTAGATGGGGTTCCAATCAGAATTTTAGGACCTTAATGTAGTACCTTGAGACACAAGTCAATAAGTAGGGGACTAAATGAGTAAATAAAGAGGGACTAAAAGGCAACTGCAAATTTGAAATATTCCTCAAACTCTGCCTATAAAAGGCAGTGTATTCTGCCTTGAAGAACAGGTTTTTCAGCTCCAAAAAATCCCCCTAAAATTTCCTCTCCAATTTCAGATCTGATTTGAAATTCAAACCTTCAAAAATCCAAAAACAATATAAATCTAATAGAAAAACCCCAAAAATTACTGTTACATTAGTGTTACTTAGGTCATTTTCAGATTCAATCATTGAATTCGATTCTCTAGCTCATATAGGATGAAAGCTACTTGAATTTCCTTGTGTTTTGTTCAATATTTGAGGATTGAAGACAGTTTGAGTCATCTAGGCAGTGGATTTGGGAGATTCGAGTCAACTGTGATCTTAGTTTGAGTGTTTTGCTTTCCTGTGTTCATTTCTGGGTATTTGGATGCTGTTTTGGGGTTGATACATCAGTTTCATTTGGTTTAAAATATTTCTGGAATTGCTGAGTCACTTCTGGGCTGAAAAATTGGCTGTGTTGATTGCTGTGTTACTGTTGGATTACCTTTGCTGATTCTCTGAGCTCCGCTGATCCTCCCTTCTTCTTCTTACATTTCTTATTTCCAGGTACACATTCTCGAGATTGATTTGATGTATCTTTTGAGTTGAAATACTGAAATGAAAGGCTCACCTGTTTACCTCTTGAGATGTGTGTGTTCAAGTTGTCATACTAGAATAGATACTAAGTGATTTGCACTTGTTTAGGCTTACTTTAGATTTGTGTTTACATTGTACAACTGGACTGAAAATTGGATTGTATAACTTGGACTGTGGACGATATTAGATTGTTAAACTTTGGATCTGATGTTCCTTCTTTCTAAACTAGTAGTCTCAATGAAGTGTGGCTGGATTTCTGTGATCGCTGTAGTTTAGGATTGGAAACTGAGTAAAAAAAAAAGGTTAAAACATAGATCCCTGTTTATACGAAGTCCAGGCACGATAACACTTCCTCCAGTAACAATTCCAGTAGTTCAGTTTTAGTAATGTTAGCTTAAATCAATCTGAAAATGATTAGTATGCCTTGTGTTATCAAAATTATGGTTTCCAGTTTGTTTACTTTGAATTGATACCTCCCTATCAATCATACTAATTCTAAAAAATTTTGCAGTAAGTATTTGATGTAATTTGAACAATTTGAAACAAATGTTGCAGTGTTCTTTTTAATTGAGGTTCAGTTTTGGTTAATGCTCGCTAATGGATTAAGGCTTGATAGCCTATTCCTGAATCGCTTGGCTTCAATTTCCGCTAATAGACAGCCCCGTCCAGCGTTAGCTCCTTCCTCATTGGGGCTGGCATTGGGCCTGAGTGCTTGAACGACCCTCATGATCAAGGCTGCTTAATCTCTCCTTCTGTTTGGACTGATGGGCGGCCCAATATAATATGAATCCAATCCGCCATAGGTTTTGGTAATTGAAACATGGGTAATGGACTGCTATGCCAAGCATTAGTGGAGTTAATTTGAATTGTAGAAATAACCACAGATAGAAGAATCATAAGACCTTTTAGGATATCCTTTTAAAATAAATGAAGTGCGCCCCGCCAAACAAAACACATAAATTGCGGGGCCTCCATTAATTGCTCGTGTTAAAATACTTAGAATTCGGGTGAACCGTTTAGCGAACTTCACGGTTTTCCCCAAAGATAATAAAAGCGTAGCTGCTTTAGGCGCGTATTTTAATAATATTACCTTCCTGAATGCGGGTGCACATTTATGTGACCCAAATCTAAATCTCAACGGAGTCGAAATGCGTCAAAAGCCACGGGTGCACTGGTGTGACGTGGTTCGAGATACATTTTCACGGCGTTGCAATTCTTATTAAAAAAAAATAGAAATAAAAGCGGTTTACTAATAAAAGCACATAATCTAGAACATGTTTTGAAATCAGATAAAATCAAATACAACAGTTGAGCGACCGTGCTAGAACCACGGAACCCGGGAATGCCTAACACCTTCTCCCGGGTTAACAGAATTCCTTACTCGGAGTTCTGGTTCGCGGACTATTAACAGAGTCATAATTTCTTCGGATCGGGATTCAACTGGTGACTTGGGACACCATTAATTTCCCAAGTGGCGACTCTGAATATTAATAATAAATCCCGTTCCGACTGTCCTTTAATTGGAAAAACTCCTTTACACCCTCACAGGTGTAGAAAAAAGGAGGTGTGACAGAGACGTCTTCTTCATTAAGTGTCGATATATATATAAAAGGGCCCTCTTTTATAAGCCTCATGTTGATATTCCATAAGAAGAATCATAAAGCATTTTCAAAGAATTAAAATGCTAAGTTATTCTATAAGTCCTAAATAAGTAAATAGGCAAGAATAAAACATAAAGAAATACTCATAAAACTTCTTAACATAAAAGACTGAGGAAAAACTTAATCACCAAAATATTTGTCTTACAAGTGCCCCATTATGGTAACTGGGGACTTTACCAAAAGATCCCTTCAAAATTGCCAAGGGATAACATTAACAATCATTAAAAGTTGTAACATCACTTTCTGAAGCAATAACAGGTGCGGTTACAACTTCTGACGAAGCAGCAATAGGAGCGATTTCAGCTGAGCTTGAAGAGATAACATCAACGAGGGAAGTAACAGTCACAGGAACTTCAATTTCCATAGACTGTGTCATAGAAGTTTCAACTTCGGAAGCTGGAGTTATAACTTCAAGTACCTCAGTAACTGCTTCGGAGTTCAAACACTCTTCTGTTCCAGGAGCTTCAAGTGCTGGAGAGGGGGTGTCAATAGTTCCAAGTGCCGGAGAAGGAGTATCAGCAGGTTGTTGACCTTTTTCGATAGTGTCTATGACTTTGGCCAACTCAGATTGCAAGTCAAAGTTTTCCTGTGTAGCCTCCATCAAAGCATCACGTCGAGAATTTAGAAAAGCCCAACTCACGTCTATGTTGAAATTTTCTTCAAGAGCATTATATTCCTTCTCCAAAGCCTTGTATTCCTTTTCCCACATAGCAAGGTCATTTTTCATTATTTGGTGCTCGGCTAAATGAGAATCCAGGGAAGCTTCAAGAGAGGCATGAGAACTTTCCAAGGCACGGATTCTATCAGAAGAAATTCTTAAATCATTCTGAGCATGACTTAAGTTTTGAGCTAACTCCTTTGCGTATTCTTCTTTCTTCTCCATGAGTTCTTTAAGCTCTTTAATCTCATCATTGGCTCTAGATAAAGAACGTTCCAGAAGCTCTTTATCCTCTTTAAGCTGACCCCAAGAAGCATTCGCAATTCCCAATTCAGAAGTTAAGCCATGATTTTGTTGCTCCAAGTGAGCCTTGCTCTCCCGCAACTCTTCTACAGTCACTTGGGTACTCTCAAATTGTTTTTTCCAGTTTGCTGCCTCAAATAATGCATCCTCAGCTATTTTCCTAGCCTCAGATAGAGCCCTTGTAGACTCTCGTTCCTTTTTCTCCAATGTAGAAACTCGCCCCATCAATTCAGTCCCAATAAGATTAGCCTACGGTCATAAAGCATAGAAGTGAGAACTTAGAAAGAAAAAGAAGGAAAGCATTCAAGGTTAAGAAAATTACCTTCAAAGTTGAATGAACTATGTCATTCATCAAAGTGTAACAACTATGGCTTTGCATCTTATTCTTTTCAATTTCTCCAATAAGAGGTTGGAGCCAAGTATCAGCTCTCCCAGATTTTCTTAAGAGGCTTTGATTAGCAGGGATTTCGAGTGTGACACTCCTCATGGTCATGCTTCTATTGATGGAACTTACTTCTATATGTGGGACAGATGAAGATGGAACAGCGGAAGGGGGAGTAGTAGAAAAGGTAAACACCACAGGAGTCGTAGGAGTGGGAACAGGAACGGAAGAAGTAGACATAGGAATGGAAGTAGAAGCAATTAAAACTGGTGAAAGAACAGAAGTAGTCAATGCTGGCAAAGAAACACTTACGGTTGGCAAAGGAATGGAAGAAATAGGTGCGAATGAAGAAAGAGGAACTTTATCGAAAACAGGTCCGAGCTCGCCACTCTCAAAACCACTATCAAAGAGATGCTGAGTTGATTCATTTGTGTTTCTTGGCACAATGTCTTCATCTGAAGGAATCAAAACAGGCTCGATGGTCGAAGTTTGAGCAGGAGTATCTTCAATTTCATCATCATTAATAACTCGTCTCCTAATTCGTGGCCTAGCTATTGACGAGGTACCTCCCTCTTCCTCATTCTTAGAACCTTCTCCTATAGCTTTCCTTTTTTGAAGCAAGGTTCGAGTCTTGTCCAAATCAAGTGCAGCATTACCAGACATGCGAAGGGCTGTGACAACATCAGCTGTCATTCCTTTGTTACCAAATCCTGATTAAAAGAAGAATACACAATTAACATTAAGAAAAAAGTACTTAATGTGCAAAAAGAAAAATGTATAAAGAAAAGAGGCGATACCGTGTGTTTTAACTTTCCAGCTATGTAAAGCGAAAATTGATTTCCAAGTTCTTTGCTCCTTAGGAGCAACCTTCAAAATTGAATCTACCCAACCACGAAAGTTGGGAACAGGTTCCACATCTTCCATGGTTGCTACAAAAAACCAAAAAGAGACAAATTTAGAAAAAGAATCGAAATTCTCAACAGAAAAAGAGGTACGGTCAAATAAAAAAAACTTACGTGCAAAATTCCACTTCTCAGGGAAGGAATATTTGTTTCACCAAGTAAATCCACCGTACGCACAACAATGTAACGGGCATACCATCCACGATCATTGTCATCTTCTGTACTTACCAAAACCTTCTTGCTTCTCGCAGTTAAGGTAAAGACTCCATGACGTATCAAATTAGGGTGGTATAAATGGATAAGATGAGAAAAGGTGAAATTAATAGTGGCTTTGGTAGAAAGATATCTCAAACAAGCCACTGCTCTCCATACTAAAGGACCAACTTGGGCCAGACAAATATTAAAGAAACGGCAAAAATTGAGGATGATTGGGTCAATTGGGGGATTAAAACCCAAAGTAAAAGGGTAAGTATAGACAAAAGAATGTCCAATCCTAAAAGAAGAAATTCTTTGGTTTATGGAAGGAATTGACATTCGAAGACTATTTTTCCAGTTACAATCTCCTCTGATGGTAGGGATTGTAAGTTCGGTCACTAATGTAGGATATGTGTCAGTTTTGTCTAAACCAGCAACTTGCTTTTGAAGGGATTGTCTATCACTTACAAAAGATAAATCACTTGGTACGATTTCATCAACTAAAGGTTCTCGAGAAGAATCAGCAATTTCTTTACCTTTAGAAGAAGGAGTTTTCAGAATAGAACTCCTAGAAGAAGAACCAGAAGAGCCGCCTCGAGTAGATTCTAACCCTGTACGAAGTCTGCCTCCTCTGTCTCTTCTATGTCTAACAGGGGCATTGGGGAATTTGTCTAAAATAGGAACTTTTCTAGGGTTAGGGTTTGGAGACGCCATTGTTGAGCAGAGATGAATCGAAGGGAAGCAAAAATAAGGAAGAAAAACGTTTGCTAAAGATTTATGGAGAAGAAGACAAAGAAAGAAAAGGGGCAAGTTTATATATAAACTCAACCGTCAGTAATTAAAAAGTGTAATGATGGAAAGCCTATAATAAAGGCAACTATCACTTCGTGAATAGTGGAGTTACAAAAGCCTTAGAAAAAGGCTGCAAAATCGCAGAACTAATGAGAAGACGACACGTATATGGTGCATTAAATAGAAGAGACAATTGAAGAGGCAATACTGTCATCGCATTGATTATGGCAAAAATTCCCTTTTTAATGAAGATCCACTTCCCAAATATTTAATTGATAAATAAATGGAAAGTGGGGGGACTATCTGTATTGGGAAAAAGTTGAATTTATATTGAAGATGACGTGGCGTGACACGTGGACTGGACAAATAGTCAAAGTATAACAATTAAGAAAAAGGTACGGGAGATGACAGGTACGAGAAGAGGAAGTGAAACAGGCACGAGAAGCAGTTTAGATACGAGTCTCGTATCAATTCGAGTCATTTAAAGCCAGTGGATCAAAAGGCATTGAAAACATGGATCTGAAGACAAAAAGGAGTCCAAATTCAGTATTAAATACCTGATACGTTAGAAAATTGGTATTTAATAGGAATGATTGTGTAACGGCTCATTTAATATCATTTATTGTCCATAATTGTCTCATTAAAGCTTAGGTTTCATTCCTTTATCTAGAATCAAATATAAAAGGAGGAAGTTGTATTGGGAAAAGATCATTGTGGACATCATACTGAAATAAAAACTTGTTCGCTGCTTTATTATTATTCTCAGAAAGCCTATTATTCTTTTTTGGTCTCTTGATTATCAGTAACCCGATTTTTCATCTCAAATTCTAGTTTTAACCGAAATTATATTTTTTGGTTAAACATCTCTGAACAAAGCCATCATTTTTTTCTCTTTCCTAAGACAACAAACTTCTCCAAAATCATTGCATTCTTTAGCAGATATTTCTGAAAGTTCGGAATGCTTATCATAGGGCTCGCTACACGTTCGAGTGGAATAGACAATCTTAACACTCTTGAAATTGGTAAATGCAAAGTTTGAAATCCAACTCTTCATTGATATCATCCCCTTTGCGCAGATAACTTGACTCATAGTTGCAGTGGACATAATTGTCCTGGAGAAAGACAATATAATCTAGATCAAATATAGGTCCAGCGCTTAATGAAACTTATATTATACAAATATGATACTCAGAAAATGCTTATGATAGCATATACCTATTTAAAAGACTCACGGAAAAGGTAAACCAAGCGAAGAAAGAAAGAGGTTGAGTTTGCCAACTATCATTTCTCCTTTCAGAGCATCACTCAAGCATCACTCTTCCCTGATGGTATGGCGCACGGTTCGAAACTCTTGTGTGTGGTGGGTCTACCCCTTTACCCTTCTACACTTAAATGTCAGGCTTTTGTCTGCGGCAAGGTTCGAACCTATGATGTGCGCCTAACCCATACATCATACGCTACGCACTTACCACTATGGATTTTACCACTAGACCAAAGATCCGGGACCCTTTCAGAGCGTCATTTTATCATGGAGAAAATAAAAAGCCCTACTAGATCAAAATGAGACTTTATAGTGACAAAAGATTCTTATTGATGACTAAACATATTTTTGCATTCTCCTCTATAATTTCAGGGTGGAAGGGACAAGGGGTGTGTTACATCATTAAAGTTGTATGACGAAGAGCAAAAGATATAGGAAGTTACGTAAGATTCCATGTCTATGTTGTGTGTCTCCATGTGAGGCGAAGCTTGCAAAAGACTAGCAACTCCATACAAATTAAACTTTAGCGTTAGGCATTTGCATTTCAGTTCTGGAAGCTGCAAACCGTCGAGTTGCAGCATGAACAGGACCAGGTGCAGTAATCCCCATAAAACTAGTAAGGAACAGTGGAAGAGGAAACAATAAAATGAAAGTAATTCACATCAAACAGATAGTTCTAAGACCAAGGTACCTAAACACTTTAAGAGACAACATTGTATAAAATGCTACACTTTCCAAAATTATCTTTTGCCAGTATCATGACGAAAGAGATAGCCAACTTCAAAAATTGAGAGATAAATTACAAAATAAAAATAAAAAATAGGAAAAGTGGACAGTAAAAACATTGTATGGAATGAAAGGAATAAAAGATGCTTTGATGGATTATCAACTCCTAACCATACCCTAAAAGCTAAATGCCTTCTGTATTTATTCGGCTGGGCGAATGTTTCCTCCGTAGATTTCCCAGAATCCTTTTTGAACTTTGTTAGCTCATCTAAGGTAGCATTCTGTAGTAAAGCTAACAGGTTGTTTTTTTTTTTTTGGCTTTTTGACGCCACTATGTAGCTTTTGCTTCTACTTTTAACATTTTGCATCTTCTTGATGCCATCAATGAAGCCAATTACATCATCAAAAAAAAAAATCCGCAGCAATTTTCATGTTTACAAAAGCAGTCAATTAGTATATAATATTGCACACTTCAACTGTTTGCTGAAAATCAAATGGAGCAACTAAAATAATTAGAGTCAACAACAAACCTCTGCAAAATGACTCAATTTTTGAAGATAATCGTAGACGATGGTCCAACAATCATGATGATCATCACGGCAACTGTCATCCTGACACTGATTCATACATGAGTAGTAAAAGTAATTTGAGCATTGACCAAAGAAGATATGTTTACCAGCCTACACTTAACATCATAAATACCTCCAGAGATCTCCAAATGCTGAAGATACGGTGCCAATAATTTCTAATGGATCATCAGCTTCTTCATCAGCCAGCCATAAATCTTTCACCTTTAGTGTCTTTAAATTTGAATTATTAATTTCCAGACGATGGAAACTACTGCAATATGACAATTCCATAGTTTCCAAAGAAGGACAACCTGAAAGTAACTTCACAATTGCTTCATCACTTTGTTGGGAATAAACCCCCCTACAGAAATAATATTCACGGTAATAACAGCGGAACAATAATGTAGTACCGAGATATGGTAATCAACAAGAATAAAAAGGAACAACAAGAACACAAAGATTTTTAACATGGAAAACCCTTCTGAATAAGGGAAAAAACCATGAGCCCGAGAGGAGCAAAGTAATCCACTATAATGAGGAATTTTACACCCAGTAGTCCGAGTAAAATACTTCAGGGACCACTATACACTCAAAAGAAATAACCCTCTTTTAAGATTCCCACCTCACTACAATATCGCTCACACTCTCTATTTTCTCTAC